CATTTTGTAGCTCAGTTTTGCAATACTTCATTTTGTTTCACAGTTTTCTCAGATTCTACTAGTTCAGTGTACTCCGTGTTCACATTGTGATCCTGTTATCCGAAAATAAGTCAGAAGCAAAGTATACACATTGCCAGAAGTATTGGTCGGCCGGCCTTTATACGCACATGAACTTTAATGGCCCCCCAGTCTTAGTCCGTAGGGTTCAATATTGAGTTGGCCCCGCCCTTTGCAGCTATAACAGCTTCAACTCTTCTGGGAATGCCGTCCACAAGGTTTAGGAGGGTGTCTATGGGAAGGTTGGACCATTCTTCCAGAAGCGCATTTTGTGGTCAGGCACTGATGTGGGGGGAGGAGGCCTGGCTTACAGTCTCCGCTCTAAGGTGTTCTATGGGGTTGAGGTCAGGACTCTGATGTCGGGGGAGGAGGCCTGGCTCGCAGTCTTTGCTCTTATTCATCCCAAAGGTGTTCTGTTGGGTTGAGGTCAGGACTCTGTGCAGGCCAGTCAAGTTCCTCCACCCCAAACTCGCTCTTCCATGTCTTTATGGACCTTGCTTTGTGCACTGGTGCGCAGTCATTTTGGAACAGAAGGGGCCATCCCCAAACTCTTCCCACAAAGTTGGGAGCATGAAATTGTCCAAAATGTCTTGGTATGCTGACGCCTTAAGAGTTCCCTTCACTGGAACTAGGGGGCCAAGCCCAAAGCCCTGAAAAACAACCCCACACCATAATCCCCCTCCACCAAACTTTATACTTGGCACAATACAGTCAGGCAAGTACCGTTCTCCTGGTAACCACCAAACCCACACACGTCCATCAGATTGCTAGACAGAGAAGTGTGATTCATCACTCCAGAGAACACATCTCCACTGCTCTAGAGTCCAGTGGCGGCGTGCTTTACACCACAGCATCCGACATGTTGCATTACACTTGGTGATGTAAGGCTTGGATGCAGCTGCTCGGCCATGGAAACCCGTTCCATGAAGCTCTCTACACACTGTTGTTGTGCTAATCTGAAGGCCACATGAAGTTTGGAGTTCTTTAGCTATTGACTCTGCAGACAGTTGGCGACTTCTGCGCACTGTGCGCTTCATCATGCGCTGACCCCGCTCTGTCATTTTACGTGGCCCACCACTTGGTGGCTGAGTTGCTGTTGTTCTCAGTTGCTTCCACTTTGTTATAATCCCACTAACAGTTGACCGTGGAATATTTAGTAGCCAGGAAATGTCACGGATGGACTTATTGCACAGGTGACAACCTATCACGGGACCACGCTTGGCGTCACTGAGCTCCTGAGAGCGACCCATTCTTTCACAAATGTTTGTAGAAGCAGTCTGCATGCCTAGGGGATGATTTTATACACCTGTGATCATGGAGGTGATTGGAACACCTGAATCACATGATTTGGAGGGCTGGCCCAATACTTCTGGCAATATAGTGTACATCTCTACAATGGCTGTCTTACTGGTGCCATTGAATTATGGAAATTGGGACCTTAAACACTTGTAGACCCTGGGCATACTAAACCTGCCCTAAGAAACCTCATTAAAGTACACAGGGCATGTGTGGTACACTCTCTTTCTCTGTTGCTGCTCCCCTCTAGCGCTTGCCAGGAATTCCTGACATTTAAAATGAAAGCGGGAGTTGCTGTGTAAATTCAGCAGAGACAGAAAATACTGCTGCCAAACAAATAGATAATCTGACACAGAATTTATAAACACTGTTCAGACAAGAGATAGACATAGAGAAAGTAACATTGTTTATAAACATTGTTCAGAGAAGAGGTAAAGAAATACAAAGTACCATTGATTGTATACATTGTTCAAAGAAGAAATAGAGAGATACAGAGTAACATTGTTTATAAACATTGTCCAGACCTGAGATAGAGAGATACAAAGTAACATTGTCCAGACCTGAATATAAAGATACAAAATAACATTGTTTATATACATTGTCCAGACATAAGATAAAGAGATACAAAGTAACATTGTTTATAAACATTTTCCAGTCATGTGATAGATACAAAATAACATTGTTTATAAACATTGTCCAGGTATGAAATAGAGAGATACAAAGTAGCGGCATTGTGTTATAAACATTGTTCAGAGAAGAGATAGAGAGATACCGAGTAACGTTTTTAAACATTGTTATAAACATTGTCCAGGTAGGAAATAGAGAGATACAAAGTACCATTGTTTATAAACATTGTTCAGGGAAGAGATAGAGAGATACAGAGTCACGTTATTTATAAACATAAGATGATACCCAGGTATGAACTAGAGAGATACAAAAGTACCATTGTTTATAAACATTGTTCAGAGAAGAGATAAAGGGATACATGGTGAGTAACGTTGTTTATAAACGAGTAATGTTGTTTATTAAATCATTGTCCAGGTAGGAAATAGAGAGATACAAAGTACCATTGTTTATAAACATTGTTCAGGGAAGAGATAGAGAGATACAGAGTAACGTTGTTTATAAACATTGTCCAGACATGAGATAGAGATACACAGTAAACATTGTTAACCACATTGCCCTTCAGAGGATTTACCCCCCTTTCTGACCAAGCCATTTTATGCGTTATGGCTCTGCGTCACTTTAACTGATAATTGGGGTTTTTCTTGAAACAAAAAAGGACCAAAAATGTTTGAAAACATTTCTTTGTTTCTATTATAAAACATTTATTATGAGGCTGCACTGATAACTGGCACTCATGAGGTGGCACTGATAGGCAGCACTGATGAGATGGCACTGATGAGGTGGCATTGATGGGCACTGATAGGTGGCAATGATGGGAACTGATCGGTGGCAATGATGGGAACTGTCTGGCAGCACTGCTGGGCACAGACTGGCAGCACTGTTGGGTACTGATGGGCAGCACTGTTGGGTACTGATGATGGACAGCACTGTTGGGTACTGATGGGCGGCACTGTTGGATACTGATGGGCGGCACTGTTGGGTACTGATGGGCAGCACTGTTGGGTACTGATGGGCAGCACTGTTGGATACTGATGGGGGGCACTGTTGGGTACTGATGGGCAGCACTGTTGGGTACTGATGGGCAGCACTGTTGGGTACTTTTTGGGCTGCATTAATAATCAGGGCACTGATGCCTGATTATCAGTTTAGATCTCTCCTTTCACAGTGGCCGGTTATTGGCAGGACTTTCCTCACAATCTGACAGTGTGAGGAAAGTCCTGTGGATAACCAGAAAGTTTATTTACATGGTGATCAGCTGTGATTGGACCCCACTAAACACGTGGTAAAAGGCCACTGTGATTTACTATGTCATGTGATCAGCTGTGTCCAAAGGACACAGTAATCACAGACTGCACCGGATGTGCGCCGCTGACTGCGTGCAGGGGGCACATTCTGGGAGGACATCATATGACGCCCTCCCACAACTGGACGAACACTCTGTAGCTGTCATTCGGCTATAGCTTGGTCAAGAAGAGGTTACAGTGACACTAAACATGGTTGGTTTCAAAAATATTCTCAAAAATTAAATATATAAGCTAGAAATAGCTTATATCACCGCACCACAAATGTGAAATAATTTAAATCAAATATAACTCAAATTGTGACTAGAGCTGCTATTTTTTTAAATACATGAAAAAACATAAATAAGTAAAAAATAAGTAACAAATAACATAAACAGCGCTCACCAATGAGATGCAAATACTATCTCCAAAATTATTATTTATTTATTTTTATTGTTTTTGTTTTATTTACATTTAGATTTTATTTATATATAATTTTGATTATTTCATATAATTTTGGGGATGGCATTTGCATCTCATTGGTGAGCGCTGTTTATGGTATTTTTAACTTATTTTTACTTATTTATGTTCAATATATTTCTATTCAATTATCTATTCTTAACTCAAAAAAGATCCTATTGCTCTTAGCCTATTTCAAATCTTCAAATACCTTTAATAACCCATTGATCCTGCCAGTAGATCTGTATTTTTTTCACTTCCTATAACAGGGTGACTACGCTGTTCATTCTGCAGTGAAATTACACAGCAGCGTTGTCACTCTGTGGACAGGGCAGTCCTAGATGGACATGTGCTAAATAAAGCTTCTCTCTTATTCTTTGAAAGACTCTGTGTCTTGCAATGATCTCAGAGAAAAGAATTATATAGAAAGTCCAAAAACTATATTTCAAGTAAGTCTCGGCTCACACTACTGCTACCTGATATTCGCGCGACTTTCAGTGTGACTTTGTCAGGTGACTTAAATACTACTTTGAAGCAATTCTGAAGCAACTTTGAAGCAACTTTCAGGGAATGCCTGGGTAATCTTCCTGTAATCTCAGATCCAAATTACATAAATATAGATGAGGATACGATTTGGAGGCGACTTCTTTTAAAGTCTATGGGCACAAGTCGGATAGAAGTCGCCTTGAAGTCGTTACAGGAACCTTTTCTAAAGTCGGAGTGACTTTATTAGTGCTAATTAAGACGGCTCTCATGAACTAACATGGGATTTCACATGCCATGCCACTTGGGGTCTCACAATTCGGATCCCAAGTGCGGCAGTGTGAACCAAGCCTAAAAGACAAACAAATTAAAGCCCAACTTCAGAGTTTTATTCAGTTTCAGTGACAATTGCTTTTTTCTCTTTAGATTGTAAGCAGTCCCGGTAGAGTCAGGCCTGTTGGCACATGCATTCCTTCAGTTGGATTTTGACCATGACTGAAGGGATCAATGGACTGTAGTGTATCCCTATTGACTGGATGTAAGCGCATGTGTGTCGCCTATATTCAGGTCTGTTCAGGTTTGTTAGACCGAACACTATAAAGTTTGTGTCCATGTCCCTTTTACTGAGTGGATTTGGCAGGAATAGGCAGGTGCACCTGCGTTTTACATCTAGTTGCCCATAGGTCTGTGTTGGCCCAAATCTGCGCCTGGACAACTGCAGTGCGCATGAGCAGCAGTTGTGTCATCTGGCCTGACCAATCAGGATGCAGAAAGACTTTTAACTTGAAAGAAGACCAGATGAAGAACTTGGAAGAAGACCAGATGAAGAATTTGGAAGTAGACCAGGTGAAGAACGTGGAAGAAGACCAGGTGAAGAACTTGGAAGAAGACCAGGTGAAGAACTTGGAAGAAGACAAGGTGAAGAACTTGGAAGAAGACAAGGTGAAGAACTTGGTAGAAGACCAGGTGAAGAACTTGGTAGAAGACCAGGTGAAGAACTTGGTGGAAGACCAGGTGAAGAACTTGGTGGAATACCAGGTGAAGAACTTGGTGGAAGACCAGGTGAAGAACTTGGTGGAAGACCAGGTGAAGAACTTGGTGGAAGACCAGGTGAAGAACTTGAAAGAAAACCAAGTGAAGAACTTGGTAGAAGACCAGGTGAAGAACTTGGTAGAAGACCAGGTGAAGAACTTGGAAGAAGACCAGGTGAAGAACTTGGAAAAAGACCAGGTGAAGAACTTGGAAGAAGACCAGGTGAAGAACGTGGAAGAAGACCAGGTGAAGTACGTAGAAGAAGACTAGGTGAAAAACTTGGAAGAAGACCAGGTGAAGAACATGGAAGAAGACCAGATGAAGAACTTGGAAGAAGACCAGGTGAAGAACATGGAAGAAGAACAGGTGAAGAACTTGGAAGAAGACCAGTTGAAGAACGTGGAAGAAGACCAGGTGAAGAACTTGGAAGAAGACCAGGTGAAGAACTTGGAAGAAGACCAGTTGAAGAACGTGGAAGAAGACCAGGTGAAAAACTTGGAAGAAGACCAGGTGAAGAACATGGAAGAAGACCAGGTGAAGAACATGGAAGAAGACCAGGTGAAAAACTTGGGAGAAGACCAGGTGAAGAACGTGGAAGAAGACCAGGTGAAGAACGTGGAAGAAGACCAGGTGAAGAACGTGGAAGAAGACCAGGTGAGAAACTTGCAAGAAGACCAGATGAAGAACTTGGAAGAAGACCAGGTGAAGAACGTGGAAGAAGAACAGGCGCGAAGAAGGTGAAGAACTTGGAAGAAGACCAGGTGAAGAACTTGGAAGAAGACCAGGTGAAGATGGAAGGGCTGACCATAAAGAGGAATGCAGACGTTTCAGTGTTGGAAGGGATCGCTTAGATGGGTAGGGGTACCATAGCAGGGAAATATGTTGCGTCTGCACATTATGGCTCCTAGGGGCCCCAGTGGTATATTTTCTGGGATGGATTACTTATGGTAACAATCCTCACTCAATTTTTAAGTTATGCAGTTTTGTTAATGACTATCGCACATCATGAATCCTTTTCACCCTTCAGTTATTCATTGTTATTCAAGCCGTCTACCTTTCCGATAACAGCCGGCTTCTGTGCCGTCAGTCTGTTCTCTCTCTTATTAAAGGCAGATATTAAGTAAGAGAAGACAGATGGGGGGAGGGAATGGCGGCACTAAGGGCTAATCAGGAATACTGCATGTGCACATGTTTATATGTGCATGCAAGCGGCAGGACTGTGTAAATCGTAGGACTGGATGGACAGAACTAAAAATCCTTCCTTGCGTGTGTAAAACAATGCCCATAGTGTGATGATTCCACCAGCTGTGTATTTGTAGCTTGCTTTTCCCCCCCCCCCCCCTTCCCCCCTCAGAGTTCCCTCTTTGAACTTTAAGCCAGGGTCTAACCACGTGCTGACCAGTGCCATTTTTTTTTTGCGATACGGCAAACTTGCGTTGTGATACGCACTTGCGTTACTGTGTATACCTGCAATGTGAGTTAGGGCAGCACAGGGGCTTTAGATTGGGAGTATGGCGGACTCCCGCAGCCTGTGAGTGATGGAGGCAGACTGCGAGGTTTTTGGTTGTGAATGTACGGGCGCGATAGGCGCGGGGTACGTGTGTGTGTATTATATATACAGTAACCTGCCTCGATTGTTCCGTGCCATGGTTTCCTCTGGCATGCGCCCGAGTAGTGAAGCCCTCGGTGTTTTACTACTAAGTACATGCTGGTATAAAGAAATTGAGCACAGTGTCAATTTGGCCTATGTATGCACCTAATGTATGAATGTTAATATTTAGGTGCGATCGCGGAGAGATGCGAGAGTGAGCGCGGCCCCTTGAAGGATTCTGACCTGGATCTGTTTCTGTACAATATATCCCTGTACGTGTGTGTGTATCTATTTCTCAGAGCGAGCGCGCTCTTCCTCCGGCCTTCTTGAGGTTGAGGAGTGAGAGGAGGCGGGTGGGGCCGAGGCGGAGGTGCATAAGAGAGAGGTTGCGGTGTGTGAGAGAGAGAGATAAGGCGAGCGCGCTGAAATAGAGCGGAAAAGAGTCCCAGCGCGGTGAGCGAGAGCAATGTTGCTCCAAATAAAGAGAGAGCGAGTGAGCGCGGAGAGAGAGCGCGCCACTTTTTTGGTACTTTTTGTGTATTTGAGATCACCTGTTGCGCTATTATTATTTTTGTGCAATACAAACCACAGACCCGCCGCCAATTTTTGAAAAAACCGCAATATTTTTGACTCTTTGGCTATAAAAACAAGAAGTCCATTAAAAAAAAATACAAATTTCGTCCATATATTTAGCAGGTGGCGCGCGCGCGCATGTGATTCGAGGCGAGTCGAGACGCGAGTAGCAGTCTGTGTATCGCTAAAAATAAATCCCGCAATACATGTAAAATAATTGGTTTATCAGAAAGTTATAGCAATCTACAAATGGGAACTATATACTGGAAATTCTTCTTTTTTTTTATATACTAGTAATTGGCGGTGCGCGAGCGAGCGCGAGCGTGGCTGGAGCGGAGGAGTCGTGTGGGGAGCGGAGGGGGGGCGGAGTGGCATTCTGACACGAGGGCTGGGGTGACTAACTTGTCACTAAGCACATCTCCCAGTGACATTACTAAAGAAGATAGCTGATCAGTGCTAATATGCGCGCAGTCATGGCGAGTGTGCGCGGCGTGGTGAGGTACTAATGTCAGCGCGAGTGGTGCAGAAGTCGCGAAATGGTAGTTAAGCATCTTGTGCGGCCGCTCCATACAAGGGTTTTAACCATGTAGCTGACTGATTTTACATTAATGTGGCTGTGAATGAAATACTTGGGACACCTGCATGGTAGCAGATGAAATACAAAGCAGTCTGTTTGTTCTGACAATGGGAGAGACCCATGAGTTTGTGTACTACAAGAGGCAGGGGCCGAACAGACAACTGCATGGGTCAGGGGGCCCCTGGGGCCATAGGGAATCATGGGGCCCCCTGTGATCCCACTAAGACGCCCAACACACAACACCCACACACCAACAAAACGCCTAACAAAGGTATCCCATGGGCATCTCAATGCATAGAAACTGGGGGTCCCCCTACTGACCCCTGGCCTCATCATGGCAAGTTGCACGAGTTCCAAAAATGGTGAGTCCGCCCCTGCACAGAGTCTCTCCCCTGCACAGTAGGATCTCTCCCCGTCATACTGTTTCCTCGGCGATCAAACGGGTGCTGGTGGGAGAATCGAACACTCGGTGAACAACATGCAACCTCAACACGGCACACGGCAAGGGTAGGGCGTTTGAGCACACTCCCCTACCCTGAAAATGCGAAAATCACGTATATAACATGTTGATTTTAGCGCAGCCGCATGCCTACCCTGCAGCAGTAGTTCTGCTATAGGGCAGCAAGGGAAGCGGTTTAATGAATTGACATTGCATTGTTGCAGCACCTCCCAAGGGCGAGGGGAGTACGCGCACGACATGGAGGGAGCGGCGCGGAGCGGGTGAGGAGAGGGGGTCTGGCTGAAAAAAGATATCCTGTTCAACACATTAAAAAAAAAAAGTTAACGAATCCTACACCCACAGTTGATCCAGAAGGAAGCAAAAAAACCCAGCCATAAGCATGAATCCAGTTTGCTCCCTGCAGGGGAAAAAAATTCCTTTCCTGAACCCACCGAGAGGCCAATCAGATATTCCCTGGATCAACTATATCTATAAAATGTTTATGTTTATAACCAGTTATATTTGGTGTATCTAGGAAAGAATCCTATGTCAGCAAATGGATCATATATGTGGTCCTACCTTGGGACACCAGCAGTAGATGTATACCTTCTATACATGAGCGAGAGTGTAATGGCGTTGCCCAGGGGCGGACTGACAGACTCATGGGGGGCCCCCGGGTCAATAGGGGATCATGGGTGCCCCTATTGTCTACTACACGCGGGGGGCGGGCGGGGGGGGGGCGGGGGGGGGGAACTATATATCTCTCTACTTATAACTATACACCCAAAAAAAGCCTATGAAAAGGTACTAGGGGCATCTCATAGGGGCCCCCAACTGACCCTACTGGCCCCTCGTGCAGTTCCCCGAGTTGCACAAAAGGTCAGTACTCGCCCTGGGGCGTGGCCCAATCTTCTCCTGAGCCCCCAGTGGTGGGGGATGGAGTTGGCTATGGCGTGTAGCTTCCCCAGGTTGCAACCCTCATGACTGCTGGCCAACAGGACATGGCGGAAGGTAAGATGGAGTTTTAGTGAAATATGGGTTCCAGAGATTTTGGAAAGCGAGATGACATTGTGTAACCAAAACAGGTCAGGGTTACAACAATAAGTACTACAGGAGATCAGAAGTGGAAAACCATACATTGAATCAGGCAATGAACAAGTAGGTGCTACGAACGCCCAGATATATTCCCTCATGGAGGATTGGGATGTCAGTGCTCTGTCTCTGTGTTCTTCTCATCATCAATGGCTATGACTAAAGAACTTATTGCCCAAAAAGCGGGGAAACCATTTTAAAATGCACATTTTACTTGCTCAATAAATTTTTTAAATTTAGGAAGACGGAGTGCCGGGGTTTCCAAACCCCACAAATTTTAAACGAGCCGGGGGGAAAAGCTGGAAACAATGAACCCGGA